CACGCCCCGTCGCCAAGGCAACCGAGACACGCGCTCGCGCGGGCGATGAAGTCATCGTGACGCTATCGGTTGCCACGGCGACAGCCCTGAGAGTGCGCTGCGCAAAGGGGCGGAGCTCGCGTCCTGACGCACGGCGGGGGCGTGTCCCGAGAGCGCGCCGCGCGTCCCCGCTTGTTGTTCCCGCAGAGAGGGCAGAAGATGGCGGCCGTGTCGAGCGGGGCTACCGCCGCCGCCGGGATTCCGCTCCCGCACCGCGAGCGAGCGCTCCCCAACGCGCCGCGCGTCAGCCGCCCGCCCCCCGCGCGCGTCGGATACTACGAGATGGAGCGGACCATCGGGAAGGGCAACTTCGCCGTGGTCAAACTCGCCACGCACATGATCACCAGAGCCAAGGTGAGCGACGCTAGCGCCGCCGCGTCAGACGCGCCGCGATCTCTCTCTCTCTCACACACACACACTTACCCACCGCTGCGGCCTGTGCTCGCTCCTCGCTCGAGCGCGTGCTCGCGCGCCTCTGTGAAAATTGTGTATCGTGTGTGTTTGTGTCGCGTATGGATGTATACGCGTGTAGATTGTGTGTGTGTGTGTGTGTAAATGTGGGTTGGTTAACTGTAATCCATGTATTATTGCAGCAGTGATGCTGTTGTGGGAGGAGAGAGAGAGATAGACAGGTAGGCAGAGAGAAGGTTAGATAGAGAGGGATAGACAGAACGAGAGATTAGGATTAACAAGCAGATAAATGTTTTGTTTATGTATTATAATCATTACTTTGGCAATACTGTACTAGTCACTGGCAGTGAAGCTCATTTGAATCGAATGGATAGACAGCGTGGTATAGACAGATAAAAGTATCAACAGAGGAATAGACATAAATGTGTCGACAGAGAGGGATAGACAGATAAATGTATAGACACAGAGGGATGGACAGATAAATGTATAGACACAGAGAGATAGACAGGTAAATGTATCGACAGGAATAGACATAAATGTGTAGACAGACCGGGATAGACAGATAAATGTATAGATAGAGGGATAGACAGATAAATGAATAGACACAGAGGGATAGACAGATAAATGTATAGACATATAGGGATAGACAGATAAATGTATAGACAGAGGGATAGACAGATAAATGTGTAGACAGACCGGGATAGACAGATAAATGTATAGATAGAGAGGGATAGACAGATAAATGTATAGACACAGAGGGATAGACAGATAAATGTATAGTCATATAGGGATAGACAGATAAATGTATAGACAGAGGGATAGACAGATAAATGTGTAGACATGGAGGGATAGACAGATAAATGTATCGACAGAGGAAAATACATAAATGTATAGACAGACAGGGATAGACCGATAAATGTTTAGATAGAGAGGGATAGACATAGAGGGATAGACAGATAAATGTATAGATAGAGAGGGATAGACAGATAAATGTATCGGCAGACAGGGATAGACAGATAAATGTATAGACAGAGGAATAGACATAAATGTATTTATAGAGAGAGATAGACAGAAAAATGTATAGACAGAGAGGGATAGACAGATAAATGTATAGACACAGAGGGATAGACAGATAAATGTATAGTCATATAGGGATAGACAGATAAATGTATAGACAGAGGGATAGACAGATAAATGTGTAGACAGACCGGGATAGACAGATAAATGTATAGATAGAGGGATAGACAGATAAATGTATAGACA